TCAGAGTGATAACCCTCTTTTTAGAGCCTGAATCAATGGAGAAGCCATGCCATTTTCTCCAAGAAAAATCACATTAAAGTCTTGAGAATCTGATTATAATATCAAATTTAAACTTAATATTTGATTGAATAGTCATTTTGATGTATATTTTGCTTAAAATATTTTATCCTTGACGTTTCAGTTTTTGATCTAAATAACCCTTTTAGATAACAACCATCTGTTGGCTAATAGCCCGCAGAAAGCTGACATGGCAGAGTTAGGAGGGATGAAAGGCTGAAATGACAGAGTTAAAGGGGATGAAATGCTGAAATTTTGGTAGAATCATGTGGGCATGGAAATTAGGGACGTGCATGGAATCCGAATCTTAAGTGTTTCGAGTCGGCTTGATTGAGTCAGTTTTTTTTAAAAAAATTTCAGTTTCGGGTCAATTTTTTTAAAGGTAATATTCGGGTCAGGTCGCCTTCTGGTTTAGGGTTATAAATACCCGACCCGATCCAACCGAAATAATAATTTTTTTTCTTATATATGTAAGTATAATAAAAATAATACCCCTATATATTTTATTTTTTCCAATTAAATTCTTATTTTTATTGAATAAAAATAATAAATTTCCTATTAAACCCTAAAACCCTCAATATGCAGAGTGAAATATTTTTGATTAAAAATTAAAATATTAAAAAAGTTTAAATAATTATTTAATTAATTATTAGAGGTTAAATTTGACACTATACATTATACCTAAAAATCAAACCAACACATGTTTTAAACCTAAAACAACCTGGAATAATTCGCACGGAAATGTGTTTCTTAAGCTTCAAGAAATAAAGCATTTTTTAAGGGTTTCTTGAACTACTTATATAAACCTAAAATCCTAATTGTCATCCAATAATCATTAAACCCTATCTCGTCAGAAAGTTATTGCCATGCAGAAGATGAAAGCAATTGCCGATACGCAAGCTTCCGACTTCAAGAATTCCAAGCGAAGACTGGAGGCGGTGGATCGAGTCGGTGGTTCATCGAAGAAGAAACCCAAGGTGGTGGCGCACACTGCTTCGACTCCACGGTGTTCCACGGTGCGAAAAGAACAGACGAGAACCGAAGGTACGTAATTGTTTCAATAACGTTAATCGCCGATTTTAGACGTAATAATAATGTATTAATATATTTTTAACATTTTTTGTAAAACACTATCTAAAACATTATTTTTTTTTATCAAAAATATTAATTTCGCTATTTAATTTCTGTTAGAAAAAAAATAATATTTTAGGTAGTGCCTAATATTAATATTTTCAGTAGAAAAAAATAATATTTTAGACAATATTTTATCGAAAATATTAATATTTTTTGTATCACATTTCTTTAATAGTATATTAAGTTGGAGAGTTAACGGTCCCCGCAACTTGCAGATACATTCAAATTTCACCGATATTTCGATGTATAAAGATCTGAATTGAGATTTAATAAAATTGTCGTACTAAATGCTTAACTTGATCGCTTTAAATAAATAATTAAAATTAGCTTTAGCCTGAATTGTAAAAAAAATTAAAATAAAAAGCATAATAGGTCTCTATATTTTTTAAAAAAATTATTATGATATTCGTATTAATTTTTCTCTCAATATAGTCCTCTAATTCAAAAAATAAACTCAATGTGACCCTTTAACTAATTTTTTCACCGTTGACCGTTACAGTTTTGACATAACAATTCACAATAATGATGTGATAGTTCACTGTGCAGACATGACAGTTTAAGTTATAGATTAATGTGACACTTGATATGAAAAATGAGTTAAATTGATAATTATAACATAACAGATGGACTGTCACATCCACATCAGCACTTTAAATTGACATATCAATACTGTAACTGTTAAAGACGAAAAACATTAATCAAAATGTCACATTATGTTAATTTTCTGAGTTGAAATGCCACATTAATTTTTTTAAAAATACAAATATTTCCGATATAATTTTCTAAATAAAAAAACTGAATGTACCAAAATTTCTAGGCATGTCGTTTTAAGAACCGCTTCAAACAATCTGTATAGCCCCTCCATTCCAAAACCTACCCATTATCCATACTTGTCCTGTACACTGTACACACATATGCAGCCCCAAAGACATATATAGTACACCCCATCCTTTTGCTTTGTACACTACACCACAGGATTAGGGTATTCTCATATTCATCTTTGTGGCCACCAAATAACTAGGGATAGCAGCATGACCCGAACTCGATAGGAAAACCTGAAACTCGGCAGATATCAGGAATTTTTTTTTAGGATTTTTTCGGGTCGGGTTTGGGAACGGGGCAAGGTATCCCCGCCCCGCCCCGATTATATATATATATATATATATATATAATATTTTATATATTTTATATTAATTATATATATAATATTTTATATTTTTTATATTAATTATATATATATAATATTTTCGGGTTCGGGTTTGAGTATAATATTTTGGGTAGGATTCGGGGACGGGAAAAAAAATCCCCGACGGGGATCGGGTCGGAGATGGAGATTCATTTTGAGTTCGGGGACGAGGCGAGCAAAACCCACCCCGAACCCGCCCCGTTGCTATTCCTACAAATAACCACCCAAATTGTCAACAAGAAGTCTTCTTTTCTACCATTTTTGCTTATCCACCCTCAAAATTTACTTGTATTCTTAACTCAAAATAATAAAAAAGGATTACATTTTATCTGACACTTCTCATTGGTAAGGGTAATCAAAACTTGACTCAATTCAACTCGAAAGATTGGTTTAGTTTTCAATTTTGAGTTATTTGGGTCGAGTTATTTGAGTCAACTCAAATTATCAATGTGGTTTTCGAGTTCGAGTCGAGCTGAAATTTAGATATTTTGAGTTAGTATAAAAATCAAAAAATTGACCAAGTATTTTGACATTTTTACGATTTAGTCCATGGCTTCATTATTTCTTCAATTCCTCATTCTTTTTAAGTTTATTTTTTACCAAATTTGAAACACATGCTCCTAAACCATCTTAGAATACATATTTTCTTTTAATTACTCTTTTTGATAATAAGTTTACTATTTCTCAATTTAATCCCTCAATTTTTCATAATTTTCTTATTTATTTAATTCATCATTTATTTTAAATTCGTTTTTTTTTCAAAATTTGAACTGCGTGCTCACATACCACTATAAAATACCTATGGAATTTCAATTCTTATTTTTTTTCTCTAAAAAAGTACTCTATTCTTATTTTTTTCTAAAAAAGTACTCTATTCTTATTTAGTCTCTTAACCCCTTTATACCCTCATCAATATATTGCCCTCAAAAATACTTTCTTTAAAATATAATAATGTGAATATATTTTATAATTTTATATTGTATTTGATGTATTAAATAAGATTATAATGTAAAAGGAATATGAAATATATATCCTATAGGTTTAGAGAAAATCTAAAAATTAGAATCAATCATTACCAAATATTATAAATAATTATATTAAAATTAGTATAAAAACTCAAATAAATCGACCAAATCGAAAAAATTTCAAATTAAGTTCAAGTTGTAAAATATAACTTAAATTTTTTTTGACTCGACTCGACTTGATTAAATGCTTACCTAATGGTTTCTTTTTCATTTTAAGAAAACAAAAATAAGAATATTATCTCAAAGTAATTTTCTTATATTTTAATAAAAATATCTTAGAATAAAAAAAGAAAAGTTTGACTTTGACCATCTGAAAAGCGCAAGCTATATGCCATGATAACTCCGCCCTTTCCATTTTTAAAGGGGGAAATGACAACTCATTTTTTTTATATTATATGGATAAATTATATAGTTTTTCGCTGAATTTTATATTTTATTTTATTTTATTTATTATATTGTTTATTTTTTTTAAAAAAAAATCATTTACCTATACAGATCATTTTATTTATTTTGTCAATAATTCTTTAATGTTTAGATGAAGTGTCATTTTTTTATCTTTATTAATATAAAATAATTTAAAATATAAAAGTTAAATTATATCATTCCTAACTAAACTTTGCTCTCTCTTAATTTACTCACCTAATTATAAATAAGATGATTCGTTTGAGTGTATATTTAGTTTTTTTCAAAACGATGTTGTTTTGATGTTTGTGTTATGTTATAACAATGTTAAAAAATTAACGCTATAATGAACAAAATAATTTAATCTATACACTTTAATAAAATAAATTAGAAAAATTTAAAATACGATAAATAATATAAGAGAAATAATATAGTTTAGTAAAAATGGTGTAATTTACTCATATTATATTTGTTATTTTTATTAAAAATGGAGTATTATATGCTTGTAATTTCATGAGTAATTATTTAGACTGCGTCTAAACATTCAAGAAAGGGAAAGGGTTTGGTTGGTATAATCACAACGTTTGCTCAGTATATGCCACACGAAAGAAGGCAAAGACACCAAAAAAACCTCCATCAATGATTGCTTGCTTTTTATTACACAACAAAACCCTACTCCTTACCTCCAGACACGTGAACGTACCACGTATGTCCTAAGAAAAATCTGGAGCCTCCAATGAGAGGACGCCATCTCAGCAAATAAGAACTCTTTTATAGGTGACTTACTATACACTATCTTATTTAGTCTTAATTAATAATAATTTTTTAAATTTTTTAAGATAAATTTTTATTTCTTTTTTATGTATAAATAAATAGTGAATAATTATTATGCAAATCAATTTATTTTAATAATCAAAAGAATCATTATTATTTTTAAAAATTACTGATTCAAATATCAATTATTATACAAGATAATTTAATGTTAATTGACAAATAATGGAAGGCATCTATCCAAGGCTAAAGGGTTAAAGAAAAGGTTGCTGGATTTCTCCACCTCATCCTTTTGCTTTGTACACTACACCACAGGTTAAGGGTATTCTCAGATGTAACTTCGTGGCCATCAAATAACCACCCAAATCATCAACAAATTTGTTTCTTTTCTATCATACAATATTAGACATTTGGTAAGTCCCAACACAAGAGGCGGAGGCGGAGGCCGGCCTGTATATTAATATCATCACACCGGCGAATCTTCCTTTATATCCTTTGCTCTGTGCTCTTTTTAGATATTTCAGTCGTCGGTTCAAACTCCACTTGTTCCCCCAGCTGGTGTTTAGCATTTTTGGCGTTTTATAATCCAGCAGCTTTTTCTACTTGTTTGTCTCACAATCAGGGTTTAGGGTTTTGCACTTGCTCTGGGCTTTTTCTACTTGTTTAACCAAATTGCTGATACAAATTCTGGGAGTGTGGCAGGTACGGTGTTTTGGGGGTGTAGAATTAGATGAGTTCGTGTTTGAGCAGAGGGGGGAGGGCCTATGGCTTAGAGCTTGAGATAATAAAACCCACTTCCTCAGCTTCAAGCAGCAGTTGTCAGTCTTCGCCTTCTTGGAGCAGTGGCAATTCCCCGCTCGCAATCTCCACCAGAAAACCCCGAACTCCCCGCAAACGCCCCAACCAGACCTACAACGAGGCCGCCGCCCTCCTCTCCACCGCCTATCCGTGCCTCTTCTCCCCACGAAACTTCACCAAACCCCCTAAATTCACCAAGCCTCACCACCACTCTTTCTTCCATGATTCGTCCGAGCTGCTGTTGTTTCCTTTCCGGGCTATTCACGACTCCGGTTTCTTGCTCCACGATCACCCGAAACCCCTGGAGTCGAAAGTGGAGAGCGTTTGCAACAAGTTGTCATGGAGCAGCGATACCAGCAGTGGAGAAGTGAATTCCCATGGAGGAGGAGGAGGAGATTCCATGGAAAGGGAAATGGAATTCCGAGACGATTTCGATGCGGAATCGATTCTGGAAGAAGGCAGGGGCATCGATAGCATAATGGGGAAGCTTAGTGTGAAGCAGGATGAGGAATCGATGAGTAGAAGCAACCTAGTTGGTCGTTCATGGTATACGGCGTATACGGGGTTGAGGAAGGGAGTGAGGGCATTGAAGCATGTGGAGCAGCAAGCCAATTGGTGGAATTTCTCGACCGTGGATTTGCACCAAATCTCACCCAAAACCAACAACAACAACAGAGTCGAGAAGAAGAAGAAAAACAACCCAAATCCAGGGCTGAAGCTGAAATTGAATTACGAGGAGGTGGTGAATGCCTGGTCCGAGTCCGACGGTGGCTCCCCTTTTTCACACCAACCTCCCGGAAATGATGTCTATATGGATTTATTAAGTGAAGCGGAAGGAGGAGTGAGGGAGGCAAGCGTGCTCCGGTACAAGCAGAAACGGCACACGCGCCTCTTCTCTACCAAAATTAGGTACCAAGTCCGTAAACTTAATGCTGATCGACGCCCCAGAATCAAGGTCCCCTTTTTTACTCTTTCCCCCCCTTTATTACTAAAACATGATGCTAGTCTTCTTGTTGATATCATCATTTTTGCAGGGCCGGTTTGTAAGAAGGACAAATTCTTGTACCACGAGTGATGAAACGTGACAATTACGTACATGAAGAAGAAGAACACAGGTTTTTGCCTTGTAATGCTTCCACATTATTTCCAGTTCTTCTATTCCCCCAAAGAGCAAGGTTTTGTTGGATTGAATAGTATCCGGTTTTATGAATAAACATCATCATTTCCATTATTATTTATTAATGTTCAGTCATTGATTATATAAACTTCTCTCTATAGAGACAGTGTCTCTAGATCTTCAGAACAAATACCAATGCAGCTAACTCCAGATTATGGGTGGGATAATTACGCTCATACGATTTTAACTGGCGTGACGCATAAACTACGACCTTCCCATCCTGCATCAGAACACATCTCAGTCCCGAGTGAGAAGCATCGCTGCATACAAAAAAATTCTTTCTCCAGATAAATATAACATCCTTCCTTAACAACTTTGTCAGAGAAGTTGCAATGATGAAGAAACCTTTCACGAAACGACAATAATAATCAGTTAAGCCTAAGAAGCTACGAATCTCAGAGACGTTCTTGGATTGCTTCCAGTTCAAAACAATCTCTACTTTATGTATAGAGCTTTTATCACTACGACTACAAGATGACTAATTATGTGATATTTATAATTATTTATTTTATTAAATTAACAAAATAACTTTGAAATGGTCAAATAAAACGAGGGTAACGGAAAACAAACTCATGTTTTGAACAAACAACAAAATGGAAAACGATCAACATAACTTCCAAAAAGACCAAAAAGGATGAATTCATGTAGTCTTCATTGAAGCACCGACGACCTCTGGGGTAGGCTCGGCCATGGTGTCATCAGCCGGCCTCTCTAGTTTCACACCGACATCTTCCGAGTAATCACCGTGAACCTAAATGAAAACAACACATGCCCATGGGAATATTTCAATGGAAAAAGTTTGATATTTATCATGGAAAACATGCAAAATCAGATGAACATACCTCCATCAACTTCCCAAGATCAAACTTGGGAGCCTTCAAGATCTTGACTTTTCGAATGAACACATTTTGCAAAGGATAGATGCTTGATGTCGCCTTTTCGATTTCTTTTCCAATCATCTCGGGGATGAACTTCTGCACTAATGCCTTCAAATCACGCGATGTTGCCTGAGTGGTCATTATCTCAATCATCTTTCGGCGAATCTGAAAAACAAGAGCAACATCATCAAGGGATTTGGTCGACTCCGGAATCATTGAAGTTCCACCATCTCTAAGGCGTGTAAAAAGAGCAAACATTTGACATAATTTCAGGGTATTATTACCTGTCTAATCTGCCTGGATTGTGCATAGCATGTCCTTTTAACCTGGTTAGGACGTCTCTTGGTGAATCCAATGCAGAACATTCTCAGAGTATAATTATCGGTCGTCTTCACATCCACATGAGCTTCGATCAGTGTTTGCCATTTCCGCACCAAGGACCTCAGTTTATCGGTTGTAAAATTCATTCCCTGCGTATTTGTTAATTCATTACAACAAGCAACAATGAAGTTGGTCAAAACATTCTTTCCTTGAACATCTTCGGCTCTCAAACGAATCTTTCTGTATGAGTGATCTTCGTCACCACCTTGAAGATCAGCAAGTGAAATCTCAAACACACGGTGTTTGAGTCCTGAAGCAATCTGTCGACAAAATAGAAAGCTTCAAACCATGTAGAATTGTGGAAACCTAATTGTAAAACCGCACATTAAGCAAATGTACTAAGCATGTCTAAGTTCATCACGCTGTACATACAAGAACAATAAATATCATGAGGATCTTCCCACACCTATATGGCATCTCATAAGTAGAAACAACCCATGAAATTACATACACGCAAAATGACCAAAGTCGACTAAGGATGCAAGACAGAAAAACAAGAAGGAAACAATAAGTTTAAGCTTTTCAACAAAGGAATTCATCCGAAGATAATCGAAGATTAAGGAGTTTCCAGAAATACTAACAGCAGCAATTGTCGCATCCTCCCCGAAAATTAAAATTCGATACCAGACACAAGATTTCCCCACTCAATTAAGAATATATCATCGAGATTAAACAAAAATGCAACAATATAACCATGACTAGATCAAAAAAGAAATGCACCACTTTTACAGAGAGTAAAACAAACAACATTGAACTCCATTACCATCATTCTTATAAAGCTAAAACGAAGAGTATAAGCACTTGGCTAGAAGTTCACTGTAATCTGAATGAAACCCAGATTACCACAGGATTAGAACATAAAAAAAAACCATTTTCACATTGATAAAGAAATGAAATTTTTGAACAAAGAGAGACAAACCTTGGTACCCTGGGTACGGGTAACAAGAGTCTTGCCAACATTTCTGGAAGTGAAAACTGATGGAGCCTTGATATCATACCAATCATTCTTAGCAAATGGATCAGTTCTAAAGCAAAAAAAAAAAAACAACAATAACAACAAAAAGAAAACAAACAACATTAGAACTGGCAAATCATTTTCTAAAATGCCCAATCATTTTCTAAAATACCCTTATTTGGTTCGTCCATTTCCCATTTTCTTTTCTTTTTTAGATCTTTGAGTCTTTTATAAACTTGGGTTTTCTTGTAGCAGATGATGTGTGCAAAGAAGTGGAATGTGGAAGAGGAAAATGCCAGCCTCCTTTAAATGGAACACTTCCCTTTTATATCTGTGAATGTGATCCTGGTTGGAAGCAAACCTTTTTTGATAAAGATGATCATCAGCAGCTCAAGTTCCTCCCTTGCATTGATCTCAATTGTAAACAATTTAAATGATTTCGGATTCGGTTTTAGGGTTTAGGGTTAGTGTTCGATTTGATTTAGGATTCGGATTTTCATTTTCAGGTGCTGTGAATAGCGCTTGTTCAGATGCTCCCTCCCCGGTGCAAGAAAGGGAAACCAAAGGGAATCACTCCGTCTCTGATAGTAAGATGTGTACACCGTTTACATTTTGTGCTTGGTCGTTTGATGTCGTATTTGCTTAATGCTCAATGCGGCACTCTGTCACACAGTCTGCAGTTGGACCGATTGCGGAGGCAGATCGTGCGACAAGGCGTCGACCTTAACATACGACTGTCGATGTTCGGAGGGTTACTTCAATCTTCTTAACGTCTCGGCCTTCCCGTGTTACAAAGAATGTAAAGACATATTGGTTCTGATGTAGCCCTGATTGTTGCAGGCGTTGAGTTTGAACTTGGCCTGTTTTTTTCCAGGTGCAATGGGATTGGATTGTGCCGATCTCGGGATATCGATTACGAACATGTCGACTTACACACCGCCGACGCCGTCGATGTCTAGAAACGATGTCAACCAAGGTAAACTCGAAATACATACATCTATTGTCGAAACTTCCCATGGTGCATATTGTGCCAATATTAATGAATGAAATATTTTTTATTTTTTCCCCTCAGCTGGCTTGAAGCTGCTGGGAACTTGGCATTGGGTCATAATGTCGGTATTGTTTCTGGCCGTGGTTGCTTGATTTGGATAGATTCATTTGAAGAGAACATTTGAGAGTTACTATTCAATTTGTTTATGGATGTTAGAGTTAGATGTTATCTTTTCATATTTAAGTTAATTTAATGAGTATATTTTCATGTAAATTTAATAAATTTAATATAATATTAATATATTTTAATTTAGTTTAAAATGTTATTAGTATTAGAATTCTGCAGTAAAATGTGACGAAAATAGTATTAGAATAGATGATCCCTTGGAAATTCCTCGTGTTGCATCCTTCATTTTAAAAATTCTTTTGATAATATGGCTCACGAATCCTTATTTTACATCTAATGTAATTCTTAAATTGAAAAAAAAAATCAAATGTGACATTTTGATCAATAAAAAATATTGTTAAATGTTAATCAAGACTTTCTGTTCATGAAAGATAAAGCAAATTCTAGCTGGTGTTTCAGGCGCTTATTGAAACTCAAGACAATTGCCATTCATGTTTTATCTACAGGAGCTACTAAGACAATAGATTTCTGGAAATAACTACGGGTAAAAGGAGATAAAGTTTCATGGCACAAATTGTTATGGTTTCCTCTACACGTTCCCAAACATAGCATGATTACATGGATGTCGCTTCTAGATAGACTCCCAACTAAAGAGAGGCTTCTTAGAAAGAGAATCGTTACTGATGGCTCATGTATAATCTGCAAGGAGACTACGGAGACTAGGGACTACCTGTTCAGTGACTGTACTCTGGCAGGTTCCTTATGGAATAATATTCTGAATCTCTCCGGCTTAAGCACTCCTCCTTTACCATGGGTGAGCATGTTAGACTGGGTCTGTAGTGCTTGGAAAGGTAAGTCCCTTCTCACTACTATCTTGAAACTTGCTTGGTGCGCTTTAATCTATTCCATGTGGGAGGAAAGAAATAGAAGACTGTACCAAGAAAGCACAAGAAGTGTGAAAAGAAATTCTGAACTCTATTAAGGAGATTGTAGGTATTCAATTAAGAGGAAGGAATATAAATAGATTCGATAGTAATGTTACAACATCTATGTGACACTCTACAATAGAAAAAAAGTAATTGATTCTTTTAAATAAACTAAAATTTAATTATTATTATTTTTTAAAAATTAAATTAAAGTCTTTGATTTATCAAACCGACAATAATTAAATTAAATTGAATCAATCAATTTATTTTTATTTTGCATATTAACTGGAAATTGCTCTTCCCTATAAAAAATCATAAAAAAGATTGTTGATAGAACTTACAATTATTGTTCATCCATAATCATTGAAGCATTCTTCCCCCTCCCCCCCCCCCCCCCCCACCCAAAAACAACCATTGGGTTCACTTTTATAATAAAATAATTTAGTGCACTAATTCCACTATTTGACCACAACACACTTTACCCTAAAACAAATTGAATCTTTCTCATAATGTGACAATGATTTTATGATCACTGCAAAAATATCAAACTATGTCATGCAATATATCTACCAAGTTGTCTTATAAATATGAAGATTTGTTTTTGGTTGGTTATGTGTAATGTTCAAATTGGAAGACTATACTTTAATGAGAAAAATACATACTTGATGGTGGGGGGATGGGGATGGCCTATCTTAGCTACCATCCATTTCTTTAAGGGATCCTCTGAATTTGGATAAGAAAATGACTAATGGTTTATACTTTTATCCACAAATAAGCTCCAAACCCCATTTGGCCCCCATCATCTTCAATTAGGGATTTCATTTCTCTTTTTCCACCCTTCAATGTGGCCCAAAAGTAATTAATTGGATTGCTTAGTAAACTAAGTGCATAATCCGGACATTTTTCTATAACATTGAAACAATAAACTAATCACTTTAGATCGTATAAGTATCATAAATGGAAAATATTAAAAATCCAATCAAAAGACTTAAGCGATAAATAAATACGAACACATCTAACTGCATCGATAAAAGGACCACAAAAGGGGAGTAAGCTATTGAAAGACTACGAAGAATCGCAAATCAAGACCAAGTGTTATGAGAAACTATCCACGAACGTAAAATCTTCTATCCAAATTCAATCTGAAGGTCTAGAACAGAGAAGATCAATATGATTATGAATAAACGTCATTTTGATCAGTCGTAACGTCGTCAAATCTAACCTTGAAACAAACATGATATGAAAAGAAAAGTCAAAAGATCGAGAAAAAAGACAAAAAAAAAAGACGTGACACAAAGGCATAGAAAAATGTGCGGAAATGTATAATTATCGGTATATGTTTTTTATAATTATTCAGTATTTAATTTATTGATCGATTACTATTGATATTGTATTGTAAATATCTATTATGAGAATGACCCTCTTAATTTTACTCTCTTAATTTACAATAATCCATAATCTTACTTAAAAGACCTAGTATCTCATCTCGGTAAGACTAAATAATATTCAACAAATAATAAAATAATAAAATTGATAATGAATTTTTTAAAAAAATTCAATGATATGTGCTTGTAAGAGATATACATGAAATTAATATATTGTTTTATTTTTTGAAAAATGGAATTAATACTCTCTTGTGTAAATGTTAGATAAGATGTCTGAGAATGTGATGTTTGTTGTCCACTCACCAGCATTCAAATACAATCCCCTTGACCTTGATGTTATGTTGGGCCATAAAAAATTAAAAATTGGACCAACCTTTGCTGGCTGAAAATTTTCATTCTACATATCTTCAATTTACCCATGTCATCACTTTTTCTTAAAAAAATAATTAATTAGTTTTTTTTGAATTAATCATTGGTATCTTATATATTGGCTGACTAATCTAGATCGGGTATTGCAGAGGCGAGGGCGACCCTCCCAACCCAGTTTGCTCTATTCACAAACGCCAAGATTCGAACCTCTAACCTTACTTAAGAGATCTAGTGTCTCATCCCACTAGACCAACTGGTTCTTGGTAATTAATTAATTTTTAAATATAAATGATTAAATAGTAAAATATATATATATAAATTATTATATTTTTTATATTTTTATTACACTCATAAATATTTTATCTTTGTTATTACACGCAAAAAAATCACAAATAAATAATTAAAGACATGTGACGATAGATATTGGGAGAAAATAATTTCATCATTAATATATTAAATTATTACACATATTTTAAAAGCTGTAACTTTACATTAATCAAAACCCTTAATTGAGCATAGTTGGTGACCAAGGAAAGAGAGAGAATGGTGCCCTTAATCAAAGATTCCTTTGATATTGAAATGGAAATTAAGGGGAGCATATGGCATTTAGGCAAGTGGGGATCTTATTTAGGATAGAGCAATTGTATTGGTTTTTATTTGGGTATAGCACAGTAGTGGCCACTTGATTATGTTAAAATAATATTTTTGGTACATCAAACTTGTAAGTTTTATAAAATGGTCATTAAACTTATTAAACTATTATAGATGGTCTTTTTTATGGGTTAGCAAAACTTGACTCAACTCGAAAAATTAATTTTTTTTACTCGGAAAAACTCGACTCGGAATGAGTTCGAGTTGTAATTTCATAAACTCGACTCGATTCGAAAAAAATTCAAGTTCAAATCGAGTTGTAAAATACAACTCGAATTCAAATAACTCAAATTTTTTTTGTAACTAGTGGATGAATTTCCAGGTTTGTCCCTCAATTCTGTATGATACATGTATATCACATGATATATATATATATATATATATATATATATATATATATAAATACACAAGAATGATTATTACATATATGTATTGTATATGGTCATAAAAAACCATTTAAATTGAAATCAAATAATATCATAATATTATAACTATTTATAATCAAATTTAAACAGAAACTTGAAAACTCGACTCAACTCGAATTTTATAAACTCTACTTGACTAAAAAAATCTAAGTTAACTCCGAGTTATAAAATATGACTTGTCAACTCGAATAACTCGAAATTTTTTGACTCGATCGAACGTTCACCCTTAGTCCTTATAACACTATAAATAGTAATAAATTTTGATAAGTTTAATAATCATTTTGTAATAGTCCATTTAATGATCATTTTGTAACATTTTGTATAAATTTAATGACTATTTTATAATATTTAAAAGTTTGATGACAAAAAAATTATTTTAACATGGTTCAGTGAGCCTTTAGTATACTTTAGACTTTTTGTTTTCATAAGTTCCAAGAAAAATAGTAGGGTTTCTTGTCATCCACAAACAAAAGTGTTTTTTGGTACAAAAATCATGTAATTTTGTGAAGTAATTTTGAATTTTTTTTAAAAATAGGGGTTTAATATTTTTTTCAGTTATATTTTTAGGTGTCCATCGTTATATTTTTAATTTTTTAATAATAAAAATATTATCTTTAAAAAACTATAAAAAACTTAATTTATTTATAAAAAACCTAATTTTTTTACTGAAATTATAAAAAAACCCGTAAAAATTAAAATTTCTAATTTCAACCCATTACCAGCCATCGCTGGCCATCTCTTACCATCTCCGACCGTCATCGTCAAACGGTTGAGTTTTGATAGGAATTGCACGGTAGTTCGAATGATGCTGGCAATGTGACTTATGGACGTTGGGATTAGCTATAATCAATAAGAAAACGGTTGTGGCTTAAAATCTGACGAACCTTTGAACGTTTCTCCATGGAAAACGATGGAAAATTACAATCAAAGGCCAACGAGGTTTGATCGGGGGTCGACGATGATGCTATGAAAGTGACGGTGACTATCACAAGTGGTCGACGACTATGGAAGGAGAAGGGTGACATGGGAGGAGAGGAGGTAGGGAAGTAGGGCTATTTGGGTTTTTTTTTAATTAAAAAATATTTTTAATAATTTAAATAAATTCTCAAAATTACTAAAATGTGACACGTGTCATTTAACGAAGATTTTAAACACTGTTAATGAGCGAATATCTAAAAATGTAACGTTGAAAATATTAAACCCTATTTTTAACCAAAAAAAAATTCTTTGAACACTAAATTATTTTTCTTGACATAAATTGCGCACTTATTTTTATATTTACTCATATCTCAATGATCAAGGTCTATAAAGGACCACGTAGGAGTAGCAACATGAGTCTTAAATGATGAAAACGAGATACCTTTGCCCTACCCTCTCATTCATTCTTCCACTTTCATCTACCTTTTTTTTTAGAGAAAATCGCCTCAGTGACCAAAAAAAAGTTATAATATACGATTTTAACCAACTTTTTTTGGATTTGCCAAAATGACCAACAAAATCGCAACGCGAAATAAAAATCGCAACGCGATCCCCAGAATCGCAAATCAGTTTCCAAAATCGCAACGCGATTCTTGAAAATCGCGATGCGATAGTACAAATTCGCATTGCGATTTTCAATAATCGCAACGCGAATATGAAAATCGCAACGCGAACACATAAATCGCAACGCGTATCCGTAAATCGCAACGTGTATCCGTAAATCGCAACGCGTATGGGTAAATCGCAATGCGTATCCGTATATCGCAACGCGTATCCGTAAATCGCAACGATAATACATAAAATCGCAACGCGTATCCGTAAATCGCAACGTGTATCCGTAAATCGCAACGCGTATCCGTAAATCGCAATGCGTATCCGTAAATCGCAACGCGTATCCGTAAATCGCAACGATAATCCGTAAATCGCAACGCGTATCCGTAAATCGCAACGATAATCCGTAAATCGCAACGAGAATCTGTAAATCGCAACGATAATCCGTAAATCGCAACGAGAATCTGTAAATCACAACACTGAAATTTTGGGTATATAACACTGAAATCAAACTAAATCCCTAAATCGCAACTCAT